TCGTCGTCGTCGTCGTCGTCGTCGTCGTCGTCGTCGTTGTCGTCGTCGTCATCATTGTCATTGTCATTGTCATCATCAACGCTGTCGTCGTCGCTGTCGTCCTTAACGCTGTCGTCATCACTGTCACCCTCGCCGTCGTCACCGTCGCTATCGCCATTGTTATCACCGTTGTTGATTGTTCAAGCATTGTTTTAATTAGGAGAAAAGAAGGATTAATTCTAACGATGGGAAACGTTCATACTTGTGGTCCAAACGAAGCTCTTGTAGTATCAGGTAAGTGCTTTAACTTTCTATTATCAATATATGCAATTTCAAAAAAGACAGACTTTATTCTGTTTTTATAGATAATTTTTGATAAGTAAACATAAAGAGAATAGTACTTTTTAAAAATTAATTTTTTATTCTGCTAAATAAAAATTAGATTCCTGAAAAATGATATTGAACTCGAAGAGTTAAGACATCTGAAGAAATATAAAAAGCTTATTTTTTTCTGCTATCTTGTAGTTGTTTATTAGGAGATTATCATGTATATACTCTTGAAATTTACTTTCTCACGGGTATTTCTTTCCAAATTATATAATTTGTAGGTTTACCGGTTATTACTACATGAATTATTTCGATACGAATCATACCAATATCTCGTAAATATGCAGTTCCTATATCAGAGCGAGGAGTAACTGGATATTGTTATGTCATCTCATATTATCATCATGCCATATTATCGTACTTCTAATGAAATTTATAAGATAGAAGGATAAAATATATGTTTATTTAAAAAACTATAACAACAAAAATAAATTTTATTCTTTTTTGCCACACATTATAGTCTAAATCATAGCTTCTGCTCGATTTTTGATTATTCATTATTTGTCTTTTATCTCTTAGACAATGATTCGTAAAAGAAGAAAGAATATATATACAGAATTCAAAGATATCTTACAAATACTCATAAATCAGATACTCACAAATCCTATGATGCTCCATATTTATTGGAGCAAGTAGAGGTTACTTTTACCTTATCCTATGAGACAAAAGGAGACAAAAAGATGAATTTTAATATTATTGCAATTATCTTGTATAAATTGTGACAATATTATGTCTAATTATATATATTAAGATTCCTGCTGGCTTACCGCAGAATTCATATAATACATCTTGAATTATGACATTAGAAGAGATGATGAAAATTCTTGCAAAATATATTAAAATGAAAATATCTTTATAAAATAACATTTGCAATTGCTAAGAGAGATTTGTAAAATATATCAAAAATTTTTTTATTTATTTCTTCGATAATTAATAAATATAAATTAACAAATGTCATGGTAGCTTGATATTCAAGGACATAAAAAGATTTGTTTTTTTTATCGATTGTTAGTGTATTAACATGGTGTATTAACATGACTTAATAAGACATGTTGTTTAGACTTATTAAATATTTAATAAATAAATTTTATGATGCTATACAACATCGATTAACTTTAAATTTAACAAATTGGAAGCAGTACTGACAATATTTATAAAAGAAATACATTTTACAAACACAAGATGCATTCTCTCTCTCCTCCTCCTCCTCCTCCTCCTCCTCCTCGCGCGCGCGCGCGCGCACACGCACACACACACACACACACACACACAAAATATACAATACAAATAATAGAATTCTAATCAAAGTGATGTTTAATTTTATTTCGAATAATATGATATTATTTCTTAGTTTTATTTCTTATTTCTTTTACAAAAATTTCATTTAACTTAAATATGTTACTTTTTACTTTAATATATAAAGAAATTGATAAAATATTTTTAGAATAGATTCTAATAGATTTTATTAGAATATTGTTTTCTGCATATAATTTTCAATAAGTTACGTAAAATTACGAGTATTCTTTTCATGATTTTAATTTATGAACGTGTACGATTAAAAACGCAATTTTTAAGGACATTTAAAAATATATTAATTTTGCAAAAGGAGCAATGCAGTTGGATTTTTTGTAAATTTTTTCATATCTCTTTAGATATTATTCATTTTGCGTCAGTTTTGCAAGCAAATAGATGAGAAAGAAAATTACGACTCATCTCCCTTTTTACGTCACAACTTAAATGTACTATCGACACGCGACAAATGTTTTCGCTAATGCAAATTATTTCTCGTTTTTTTTTCTCGATATGTTTTCTACCATTGTTAATCCTCGCTATGCAACATGTAAAATATTATTGTGGCAAATGATTTCAACTTGCAATGACAAAATTGTGTCACTAATTAAGACGATCGATGCGACTAATTACATTAAATAAATATTCTTGTGCAATAATTACTGTATTATTTATACATTTATCAACAGTAATATGGGATTATAGTGATAATAATTTTGTGCGTTTATTGATAATACTTTATTAACATTAGTAAAATAATATTTATATATATATTAAAGGAATTCATTTAATCTATTTAGTCTTAAAATGTATATACGCAATATCTCCGAAAATAAATTGAGAAAAAGATGACAATTAGACATTTTTTTCATTTTTTATACATGCATAAGTCATATTCTTAGATGATCAACATTGAACTTTACTGAGAATTATTAATAGTGCATGTATTGACTGCTTCTATTATTTCATTCTATTCACAAGTATTTGCTACTTATTTTTATGAAAATACGCAGTACTGGCGCATAAAAAGTTACTTTTTATTTTTTCAAATATTTATGTAAAAATTATATCTTACGAAATCTTTTAGTATTTTTGTATGTAATAATTTTCGTAAAATCCTAATGGTATAGATATATATCTTAGCCTATTGCTCTTGAAGTGAACCATTGTTTTTTTTTGTTAATTTTAATAAAAATAGACTTTATTTGTAACCTTATGAAAAAAATTTTAATTTCTTTAATGATTGATCCGTAATGACTTAATGAAAAAAATTTGCTGTGGCTGCGATCAGGATATGTTATGAGCGTTATCTCATATTCTACTCTTGATTTATATTTTGAGTGATAAGGATGACGCAATAGTTCTAATAGCGCATTCTTCAAACCTATCTTTGCTTTGCTCAAAGAAAGATATCGATGCAATATTACGAAAGGCATCTGACATTGGTCATTTTAAAATAACTCTTCTAAATTGCTAAATCAAAATTGTTATTATTTTGGAAAAATTGTATGATATTACATAAAACAATTTCTTGCCATCAGAAATTATTATTTCCGATTATTATTTTTAGAATTTACTAATAAGAATATCGAGAATAAAAAAATAGCTTAATTTAATAATGATAATATTTGTTAGTTTATCAACTGATAATCAAGTGGCGATTATCTTGAACTTTTACATTCGAGAGTCACCCGACTATCTCATAATTTTTCGATCAATTACATGGTCTGTTTCAAAATTTTTACGTCTATGCGCATATTTATATTTTTATATTATATTTATATATAAGTCTAATAAATGTAGTGATATACAATATAACAAACTTATATAAGTTTTGTCATACTGTGCATCATTGTATTTATTGGCAAGAATGCTATAATTTTTATATCAAAAAATATTTAGGTTGAAAAATTTATAAGGCAGGGCTGGCAAAGCTAGCTCGTGAGCCATCCCCTCCGTCAAATGCTGTCTCCTCCAGCTCGATTCATTGGCCGATTTCAATGAATCAATGGCTGTCAGTCACGATGATATGGTGCTTACTTCCCATCATAAACCGTCGAAATTTCGATTGTTTTTCTTCACTATACGATATAATGTAGCCAAGTCGACCGTATTGAAGTATCTGAGATTATCAGGTACTCGCAACTGAGGAGTTCATGAGATACATAATAAAGATACACGGTCAGTCTCGCGCGCGTATGACGCGCTGACTCATTTTTATTTTCAATACGACTTGGCTACATTATCGAGTTGGACGGGACAGCATTCGATGGAACGAATGGCTCGCGAGCCACGCTTTGCCAGTCCTGCTATAAGGTATAAAAACTCTACCATGAAAAAATTATGCCTCTTGTTTAATCTAAATAATTTTTATTTAAGTAATCACTAATACACTGTGCTTATGATAGAATTTAATTGGAATCATTAAATTTGATATTACATTTGTTAACTCTATCATGTTTAGTTTATTTATATGGAGATATCCCTTTTCCTCCTTCCCACCGTCTTCCCTCTTTTTACATGCACGCACGCACGCACGCACGCACGCACGCACGCACGCACGCACGCACGCACGCACGCACGCACGCACGCACGT